TGGTTTACAATAATTGTTCAAAATGTTGACCATTTACTTCAATGCAAAGATTACACCGTCGGGTCATTGACTGAAAATTTTAGTCTACAAAACACCTATTCGTAATGAGGAAGATCTGTTAGCAAGGATACTGGCGAGTTATACCCATGTAGAAGCTATTCCCGGAATATTCCAAAGAGTTCGCGAGGTGAACAATTATTGTAAACCTTAATTTATTTGTCAATAAAGCAAAATTAATAGGTAAACAGTAATTTAATTCTTGGGAAGAATAAAACTAGGTACCAAACAGTTTTTTTGCTCTACAGCCCAAATGGCTCATTTGCGGACATATGTTTATATAAACAAAAATGCTTGTTTTGATGTCCCCTACTACCCCTTATAGTTTGTCGGTATCTTTTTGGGACACCCTGTATAAGCACCTAAAATAAACTTAAAAATATATTGGAAAACTAAAATATAAACTCTCATGGTAACAAAAATCCAAGTCTAATAACTATGCAGTAACTATGTAGTTATATAACACTTTTCCCACCCATCCTAATACCTATCCTATAATAATTATTCTTCACTAACCTCTTCCAACTGTTCAAGTTTTTGGATACATTTCCAGTGAGCAAACATATCTCCTCACTGCCCAAATGATGCAGAATGGCGATATTCATCAATTTTGTTCGCTAAAAAATTTTAAAAAAATAAATAAAAAACTATATATTGTTCCTTATATGGGAGCAAATCCAGAGATATTGATAATAAGAAATAAATGGGTATTTATTGGAAACAAACATTAGTTGGGATGTTTTACAAATATATCTAATATTATTAGCATGGCGTTAAGAGTTGTTTAAAAAAAAATTATTTCTTAGTTTATTATTATTATAAATCTATTTGTTCTTTTCAAAAATAATTATTTGTTATTTTTGAAACTATTTATTTTCAAAAATGAAATAAAATTCAAAAATAGAATCAAAATAAAAATTCTTAATTTGAGTAAAAACTCTAATTTAAATTAAAGCAAAACTTCTGAATTAAAGAGAGTTTTCTTTAAATTGTTTGTTTTATTATGTTTTTCAGCTAATTTCTGTTAAAATCATAGTATTATGTAGGTACCTTAGCGAATCAACAGCAAAAATAGCAAAAGGACTTAGTTATGAAGCACCAAAATTACAAAATGTTAGGAAGGTACACTTACAGACAGATAATTGCTTTGTAACAGTAGCACTCCCTTAGCCAGTGGCGGCTGGCCCTAAGATGCCAAGGAGCCGTGGCACTGGCGCAAAATATGTCGGTCCTTTTAAAATATTTTTTATTATTCCTAAATTTCCTAGGCAAATAATTCAAGCGACTGACTAACTAAACTAAACTCGCTGGACTATCCGTCAAGTTAGCCCCCCCACATTCGAATTTTCTGATAAAATTGCAACCACTTACTGTGCTCGAAGTGTGTTTTACTGTGCCGATGATATTTTGCACTGTGCCGTTTCGATAACAAAGTTATAGCAAAAAATAGATGAGGGGCTAACTTGACGCTCAGCCCCCCCAAAATTTTGGAAATCAGATGAAACCAAAAAGGATTCTTATCCAATCTGAAGTGTGCTGAACTGTGCCGTATCAGGTTTTTCTCAAAATTTCCATATTCGGTCATTTTCCGACAAAATCCTACTGGGGGGCTAACTTGACGCTCAGCCCCCCCAAAATTTTGGAAATCAGATTAAACAAAATTGAATGCTTATCCAATCTGAAGTGTGCTGAACTGTGCTGAATCAGGTTTTTCTCAAAATTTCCATATTCGGTCATTTTCCGACAAAATCCTACTGGGGGGCTAACTTGACGCTCAGCCCCCCCAAAATTTTGGAAATCAGATTAAACAAAATTGAATTCTTATCCAATCTGAAGTGTGCTGAACTGTGCTGAATCAGGTTTTTCTCAAAATTTTCATATTCGGTTATTTTCCGATAAAATAATCATACTGGGGAGCGGGGAGCCAATTTAAAGCTTAACCCCCCAAAATTTTGAAAATCAGATTAAACAAAATTGAATTCTTTTCCAATCTGAAGTGTGCTGAACTGTGCTGTATCAGGCTTTTCTCAAAATTTCCATATTCGGTCATTTTCCGACAAAATCCTACTGGAGAGGTAACTTGACGCTCATCCCCCCAAAAGTTTCGAAAATCAGTTTGAACAAAATTGTATTCTTATCCAACCTGAAGTGTACTGAACTCTGCTGTATCAGGTTTTCTCAAAATGTACATACTTATTCGGTTATTTTCCGACAAAATCCTTCTAGCTAACTTGACGTTCAGCTCTGAGAATTTACATACATACCATCCATTAGGTTTATATCGGGAAATGGCCAAACATGGAAACTTGGAATAACCTGATCAGGCACAATTCAGCTCACTTCAGATTTAATAAGAATAAGAGTCCGTTTTTCTTTGATCTGATTTCTAAAATTTGGCATCAACTTAGCTCCCTCTTAGTTTTTTGTCGGAAAATGACCGTGTATGGAAATTTCGAGAAAAACCTGGTACAGCACAGTTCAGCACACTCCAGATTGAATGAGATTTCAATTTTGTGCAAACTGATTTTCGAAATTTTGGGGGGGCTGAGCGTCAAGTTAGCCCCCCAGTAGGATTTTGTGGGAAAATGACCGAATATGGAAATTTTGAGAAAAACCTGATACAGCACAGTTCAGCACACTGTAGATTGGATAAGAATTCAATTCTGTTCAATCTGATTTCCAAAATTTTGGGGGGGTTGAGCGTCAAGTTAGCCCCCCAGTAGGATTTTGTCGGAAAATGACCGAATATGGAAATTTTGAGAAAAACCTGATACGGCACAGTTCAGCACACTTCAGATTGAATAAGAATCCTTTTTGGTTTCATCTGATTTCCAAAATTTTGGGGGGGCTGAGCGTCAAGTTAGCCCCTCATCTATTTTTTCCTATAACTTTGTTAAATAAACGGCACAGTTCAAAATATCATCGGCACAGTAAAGCACACTTCGAGCACAGTAAGTGGTTGCAATTTTTTTAGAAAATTCGAATGTGGGGGGGCTAACTTGACGCAGCTCCGAATGTGGGGGGGCTAACTTGACGCAGCTCCGTCCGAGCACATCTCACAACGGTTAAGTTTTGGTATAGGTGATTCCTAACAAAAACTTTATAGGATTTTTATAACGATCCATTAATGTACTGAAATATAGGGTGTTCCATTTAAAAATAACAAAGTTCTTTCGCATACCCCACTTACGGACTATCCCTCGGAGCACCCTGTATATTTAAAAATATTTTTTAACTAATGCACCTTAGACAATCAAACAACTTTGTAATTTAATATTTTTTTCTTGCATCACCCTGTAAGGAGATATCGTCCGATATCGCACTAAGTGGACACCCTGTATAACTATTTTGACGGCATCGGGATACAGTTGAGGCGTGTTTTTTGAACGACTTTCGGGTGCAAATTTGGGCGTGGCACCTCAAAAAAAAAATTCGCTACGTTGGGACACTTGATAAGTTTCCTTTCATCCATTACCCCTTCAGAAAATTACGTATGGACCGCCACTGATAGTAAGACAACTTGTCATGTAGTTTTGCTACAATTACGTTATTCTGTGATTACGTTAAGTGAAGGGTTATTGTAATAGCAAGTTTCATCATGATGTTGGAAAGAGTAGCCTCACTTAGTCACTTATCTGTGAACCCGCACACATAACAATAATTATCGGTATCAGAATTGGGTTAAATGAGTGAAAAAAATTTCGTCCATGGGGAAGACGGGACAACAGGTGGAAACGGAAGATCAAATAAACCAGATATTCCCTTTATCGAAGCCTGCGGTCAAGAATAAAGGCAAATAAAGATGACCAGTTCAGTAGCGTGTCAAATTTTTTGGTGGCCCCCCCGCGAACTTTTTTTTGAGGCCCCCTATGTCACTATTATATTTTCCAAAAATAACCCATTATAGTAGATATTTATACACAATATCATTATCTAATAGTTAAAAAACACAGCGAATTTTTGAAACTAAATTTATTTCTATAAATTATTATAGGTAAGTGATTATAATAGTATAGGAGAAATGATTGAAAAGTTCTAAAAAAATGTTCTTCTAATACAAGGAAAACATGCAACAAATATTTAACTAATAAGTACAAAGATATGGAATTCACATTTTTTATGTTCGAAAGAAATGGTGACAAATTATTGAATATGGATTTGAAATGTTTAAATGTGCATATTTGTATTTTTGGAGTTTGTTTGATATACATAGGTATTACTTTTTCTTAGAGTATATTGGGGGCCCTGGCGGGGTCTGCCGGGCCGTTTGACACGCGCCTGGACCAGTTAACACTTTCTAAAAACATACATACAGATGTAACACCCACATCAAAATAACAAGAGTTTGTCCCTGGAAAAAACACGATCACCTGTTGAAAATATCAACACGAATAAGATCATTTTGTTCATTCGTGCCAAAACAAGAACATAAACATCATCAGTAATTCTTACAAATTGTAACAAATCAGTAGGAATCTATCGTTTTCTGATAAAAGCTTGATGTTTGTTTTGCAAAAGAATTTCCTGGCTAAATGGCGAATGTACCGCCGAATGCGCATTCTGTTACTTATTGGGATGAGTTTGAGTTTATTACATCGTTTGTGGCATTTCTAGCAATTATTCATTCAAATTCAAATCCAAATTATACCTACACACTACAGGATAATCATTATCCTGAATGTTTCACTAATCAACCCTCAAAATCGTAATTTTTATTAAATGATTTTAACTGCGCGTTTACTAAATTATGATGTAACGTCTATTGCAATGTCTAAACAATAGTTTATGTGTTTCTAGCAATAAATTGATAATGCAGAATAAATTTGTCAAAACAATTTAGAAAATTTCCCTATCATGTAGAGTCTAGAGTCATCTTAACCCTCGCGCAAACTTGAAATCTGCAATGTCAAATATCTATAAACTCATACACCAGTTCAAATGCGCGCGAAAATGCACCACACAGGAATTCAATATTTTTCTTCTGGGGAGCGGTTTCTTGTAGAAAATTTAATTAAACCTATTGTAACATTGCCCTTGATTGAATGCAAAGTAACAGGAAATACTATAGTACATTTAATTTGTTATTAATGTCGATTATTGTGGAAAAATTTATCAAACCGTAAGTGCTCAAATTTATTTATTTTTTAGACGCACATGTACCTACCTATCTATAAGCATTAAACACAAAAATAATTCAGTTATTAAACAAATTTAGTTTAGATTACACAAAACCATAAAATCAAATGCTCATATCCATCAGCATTAAAACCAAATGGAAGTAAAAAGCCTCAAATATCCAAGAGATATTATTGATTAATTTGAATAAGCTCATCCTCTCAACTTGACTTTAGTGCTTGATAGTCTTCCTTTTAGGTTTTGATGTGAATTTCAGTATAAAATCAACAAAAAATATTAATTATTATTTATTAATTCTCAGTTAAGAATGCACTATACACCGTGATTTACGTAGCCCGTGCATTATATAAGTTCTCCAGATTGCAGGTATATTAAGAGATAGCATAATTACCTATTTATGATTTGGTTAATTTGTTTTTAAACTTTTTTTCACGCTAAAGGTTAATGATACAAAAAATACGTAATCGAGTCAACAATAAGTAGATAGACCTAATTAATACAAAACTGAAAAGGTTCAAAAAGCTACCCATACATTTAAAACTTACTGGGGGCTGATTAGCTTATTTATATACCTACCCAATTGAAGATAAAAATACAATATAACTGGCATTACAAAGCAGGTATGTTATATAAAAAAATTGTTTACTTTAGAATATGGCTTGTAAATATTAGAATTATTGCGAAAAAATTTATAGTTTTCCCAAATGAGTGCTAATTAATAATTACAAGAAAAACATCCATATTAACCGCAATGTTTCAATAATTATTTATTTACAACAGCTTTAAATGATGAATTGGCGACATTTTATAAAATATATGTACATACTTTATTACTTTTTATATTTTGCAGATAACATACAAACAATGACTGATGACTCTTTTTTTTTTTAAATTTATCTGTTCCAATGGATAATCCAAGGGGTAGGGGACTTAGGGGAGACTAGGGAGGGTTGATACACTTAATATTTAAATTGAAAAAAGGTATACCTTTTATAAATTCTCTTTGTGTTGCCCTTTATACCTAACTAACTTGCAATTAATTATGCACAGATAAAGTCAGGCAATTTAGGACATGGTACGAGATATTAGATATTTTTAAAAAACTGTAAGGTGTATCAAGTCTCCCATTGTGAAGGACGTTTGATACAGTGTACGGGAGACTTGATACAATATTTAAAAGACTGCAAAATACTTTCAAAACATTTATTTCCGCAAAAGTTTCAAAATTACAACGTAACAAACTAATTAATATTGTCAAATTTTTGAAATTTTATAGGAAAAGTTAATTTTCTTGTGGATCTGGCAGTTCCACCCACAAAATTTGGAGGCGGCAACTTCATAACATCTTCTTCGGATACCAAAGATTGATCTTCGACGTCAGGATACACAAAATGATATCCTGGTTTCTTTTGCCGCATGAAATTTATTAAATGTTCTCCATTTATTGTTTCTAAAACTTTTCCAACGTAGTATGTTACAGTTTTTTTGGTGGCAAATCGTACCAGCACATAATCGTTAACATTTACTAACCCTGTAATAAAATTTTCTTCTTCTTTTTCATTTTCCATCTGGTCTTCTATATCAGTTACTTCTTCAGACGAGGATGAGTTATACAAAGATTTATCAGATTCAGATTCTTCCTCAATTGCTTTTCGTTTCTTGTTTTTTACAGGCTTTTTCATATTGATTGTTTCAGTGGATATTTCACCCATAAGGTTTTTCTTAAATTGTTTTTTGTTCTTGTGCTCTCCTCTTTTTTTGTGATCATTTTTAATTTCTTCCATGTTCGTTGTGTCCGTTAGAATTTTTGTCTTTGCAGGTCTTCTTCCTGATGCTTGTTTTTTTCTTGGTGGAGCCTGCGGCAATGCTCTTATTTCTTCAGGGGTCTTGTAGGAGCAAGAAGGTTTAGGAATATGTTCCGGGGTTGCTTCCGGTGTCCGTTCTCTATGAGCAGCAGGTGTTGGAGTTGCATCGGGTGAAGGTAGGCGCTGTTGAGGGTCAGGACGGTCGGTAACTCTCGCAGTAAGAAAGTCATCATCGGTGAATAGGTGTGAGTTGTAGGGGTAAATGCCAGTTTTGGAAAATCCTTTTGTGATATTCAGTGGAGTGAAAGCCCGCTGGTATGCCAGACCAACGAGCTTTGCAATATCTTTCAAAGAAATAGTTTGACCAGGATTTTTTACCATGAAATCATCGCAAGCTTCATTAAAATATGCTTTAAATGGACCATATACGGCGACATCCAGTGGTTGTAACCGGTGGCTTGTATGTGGGGGTATTGTTAATAAAACTATTCCATTTTGCTTGCAAATATCTAGACCGTTAGGAGATATATGGCTACTGTGATTGTCTAAGATTAATAATGCCCTTTTATCCTTGCTGGGTTTTGCAAACTTTATGAAATGTGATAGATAGAGTTCAAAGTTGTTAGCTGTCATCCAACCACTTGGATGAGTCGCAGCTTTGGATCCTGGTGGTGCGCCAATCGTCATGTAGTCTTGTTCGCGAACCCGCGGAAAAACAAATAAAGGTGGGATTGAATTTCTTATGGCACTAATGGTACACAGGACTGTGACTGTCTGTCCTCTTTCACCTGAGGTAGCTTTAGCAACTTGTTTTTGGCCTTTCCTTGAAATGATTTTGCCTGGTTTGTGGACAGTCTGAACTCCGGTCTCATCACAGTTATATATAGATTCTGGCTCAAACTGCTCTCGACCCAATACTTCTCTAAGTAAATTATAAAATTCACCAACGGTGTGCTGGTTAAAAGCTGTTCCACGGGAAAGACTTGTTGGTTCCGGGATTCGAAGGGATAGTTTATTGTTCCTATCCATAAAACCCCGAAGCCATTCATATGAAGCTTTTTCAGTTTTCAACCAATTTTGAGGGATTTCCTTTTTATTTTCCTTTGCATACAAATATGCAAATTTTCTGGTCTCTTTCGATGTGAACCCATAATTCATTCTAGCCGCGGTTAGCAAATATTCTGCTAGACTCTTTTCTTCTTCGGAATTAAAAATTTGTGAACTCGCAAAATTTGGAATAAACTTTGTTTCCTCCCCACTTTCTCTGAACTTCGCAACGTACCTTCTCAGGGTCATTTTGTCTATGTTGTATTTTTTAGCCGTAGTTCTCAGTTTGCATCCATCCAACACTTCCTGTACCGCTTTCTTCATTCGTTCTGGCGAAGCCGGCACTCTGTTCGTCTTTGTTGTCCACTTGAATGGCATTCTGGAATGTAAAAAGGGAAACAAATTTATTATTGCTGACTTGCAGGTTTGATACATGTATCAAGTCTCCCAAATTAGGGTGTATCATTCCTCCTTTATATGATTTATTTAAAACTATTTCAAATTTCGAGAAACTAACCTCACATTACGGGAATGAATATTATATTGAATAATAGCTAGAACCCACCCCTACCAAATATAAATTCCATAAAAATGATAATTTGTATTAATTATTAATGAAACGGTTACACTTACCTTAGATAAATTTACAAATTTAACACCAAAAACAAGTTTTTTGCGGTGAAATGTTTACAACACATCAAACGGCGATAAACAAATAGCAAATGTGCTCACCACGCGAAAACATTCCAGTGTTGCCAAATCTACCAGGCAGTCAACGCTTGAAGCGGCAAATTCAAAAATGTATCAATCCTCAATTCTCCCATGGTATCAACCCTCCCTAGTCTCCCCTACCTACCTAATCTTACTCTAGAGAGAGACATATGGTAGGTACCTAATAATTAGGTCGCGTGCTTAACAAATTAATTTACTACAAAACCTGTATTTTTAGTCCAGGAGGCAGTGATATTTTTTAGCACCCTTTTTCCCAGTTTGGTGTATAATAAATAGTTGGTTCTCTTGGTGATACAAAACAAGAATATTTGAGTTTCGCAAAAATTTTCGGATGGGTTCACAAGATCAATGAAAAATACAAGACTTATTTTCCCAGTCATAAATATTTCACATTCACTACAATAGAACATAAAGTATATGAAAATAGCAATTTGGCTTATCTCATATAGTGGAAAGTGAGTCTGACTGAAATTTTTCGGATCTTCATTTTTCACTTGCCAGACGTATTATTCATACTCACAGATTGGCCTGACTATTTGTTTACGTAACTTCAGTATACTTCTCATTAGTAGACCTATTTTTATCACTGAAAAAAAAAGGGCCGTGCATTCTTAAGCTTTAACGCATTTTGTGTCTTAACCCATCGGAAAACCCTCCCTAAAAATATATGAATTTTGCTTAGAATTAATAACCCTACAATGCTATCCATGTTGTCTAACTGGGAAAATAAGTGCCGAACATCGTCACTGCCTCCTAGACTATTTCAAGAGAGAGAAAAAAGCTATACCTATATTGAATAAAGAATGAAGGCTTTCACGGCCGGTCAAATCTAGCAAAAAAGTTTTTTCCGAGCTATAATGCCGTGGTCCATTAGTATTTCTACCTAACGTTTCGTCTACTGCTGCGGTAGACATCTTCAGAGGCGGTGTGGTAGAGGACGAAGTGTTCTCTTCCGTGTTTCTCCGATGACTGAATTCGACGTTGAGGGAACTGCGTTATTTATATCCAGGGTTGTGGGCGTGGCCTGGATTACGGTATTTTCCTTGTCTCGTTCTCGGAAAGGAAGGGTCTTTGTTTTTCGGAGAACTGGCAACCAGCTTTTATTGAGGTTCATGCCCTCTTCTTTTCTGTTGAAGTTGTTGTGGTGTTTCTGTATCTCTATGGCTTCTCTGTGGAGCCTGGTGTAGAAATGTTTGGTTCTATCCAATGTTTGAGTCTGGTCGAAACGAATGACATGGTTTGTTTGTGTAAGCACGTGTTCGGCGATTGCTGATCTATCTATTTGTCCTTGCTGACAGTTTCTTTTGTGCTCTTTGACCCTGGTGTTGATAGAGCGTTTGGTTGTTCCTACATAGACAGATCCACAAGAGCAGGGAATTCTATAGACGCCAGCCGATTCAAGAGGTGCCCAAGGAACCAGCACAGGTGGCAGGGAGAGCCTTTCTTCCCTATATCAAAAATGTCACAGATCGCATAGGACGAACGCTAGAAAGACACAACGTTAAGCCTATCTACAAGAACAATTCAGCAAAGTCTAAGATCGGCCAAGGATCCTAGGGCACCTCTTGAATCGGCTGGCGTCTATAGAATTCCCTGCTCTTGTGGATCTGTCTATGTAGGAACAACCAAACGCTCTATCAACACCAGGGTCAAAGAGCACAAAAGAAACTGTCAGCAAGGACAAATAGATAGATCAGCAATCGCCGAACACGTGCTTACACAAACAAACCATGTCATTCGTTTCGACCAGACTCAAACATTGGATAGAACCAAACATTTCTACACCAGGCTCCACAGAGAAGCCATAGAGATACAGAAACACCACAACAACTTCAACAGAAAAGAAGAGGGCATGAACCTCAATAAAAGCTGGTTGCCAGTTCTCCGAAAAACAAAGACCCTTCCTTTCCGAGAACGAGACAAGGAAAATACCGTAATCCAAGCCACGCCCACAACCCTGAATATAAATAACGCAGTTCCCTCAACGTCGAATTCAGTCATCATCGGAGAAACACGGAAGAGAACACTTCGTCCTCTACCACACCGCCTCTGAAGATGTCTACCGCAGCAGTAGACAAAACGTTAGGTAGAAATACTAATGGACCACGGCATTATAGCCCGGAAAAAACTTTTTTGCTATACCTATATTTCTTGCTATTTTCACGATGGGTTAGGAACCGGTGTGAAGTTGGTGGCAAAAGATAGTAGCCAAATTTTCCGAAGATACCTGAACGCCCAGTGGCGTCGGGTCATATTTTAATCGACAGAAATTGTATTTTACCTCACTTGACTTAGTTATATAAAATTCTACTACAGTTACATATCTGCAAAAAAAAACTCATATTCTTAGGGAAATTATATCAAGGGGTATACGAGAGGGATTTTTTTAAATGTTATTTTGTTTTTCGAAATATTTCAAAATCTGCTCGTTTCAACTGATTCATATTTGAACCACGGTTAACTTAAGTGCTGATTCAATTTTAGAAAAATATTTCATCGCCAGCAACCCGGAACAAGGGGTGCAACTGGGGGTTGGAAGCATATTTTTTGAATTATTTTGAAATATCTCGAAATCTGCTCGTTTCTACAGATTTATATTTGAACCACAGTTAACTTAGGTGCTGATTCAATTTAAAAAATATATTTCACCCCCAGCAACCCGGGACAAGGGGTGCAACTGGAGGTTGGAAGCATATTTTTTGAATTATTTTGAAATATCTCGAAATCTGCTCGTTTCTACAGATTTATATTTGAACCACAGTTAACTTAGGTGCTGAATCAATTTTAAAAAAAATATTTCATCCCAGCAACCCCCTGACAAGGGGTGCAACTGGGGGTTGGAAGCATATTTCTTGAATTATCTTGAAATATCTCGAAATCTGCTCGTTTCATCAGATTTATATTCGAACCACAGTTAACTTAGGTGCTGATTCAATTTTAAAAAAATATTTCATCCCCAGCAACCCGGGACAAGGGGTACAACTGGGGGTGGAAGCATATTTTTTGAAATGTCTCGAAGTCTGCTTGTTTCAACGGATTTATATTTAAACCACGGTTAACTTAAGTGCTAATTCAATTTTAAAAAAATATTTTATCTTCAGCAACCCGGGATAAGGTGTGCACTAAACTCACTAGAGGATGAAATCGCTTTTTTTACAAATATAAAAAAAACAAAATAATAATTGGAGCGTGTTTTAATTTTCAATTGCTTCACATTTTTCATGAATTTGACAGTCTAGTTTTACGCTTAAAATGTTAGATCAAATTGCTGAAAGAGCCAGAATCGGAAAACTTTGAAATGGGAAACCATCAAAATCCTCTTTAAATTTCCCCCTAAATTATTTAGCTATCGTATTATTACTGGAAAGTCTCATATATTTTTTATTGATATCTATGCCACTCCAGACGGACTCGGACTAGTCTAGACTGGTTGCCCTTTGCCATGCCAGTACAGAGGTGCGATGTGGCTATGTGTTTCTGTTAGTTCCTTGCTGCATTAATTTTTTTTTTAATTTGATAAGATAGGTACCTGATTGAATTATTCCAATTTTCCAATAATTGTGTCCTGTGCTACGCTGAATTCACCGCGATTTCGTCAATCGTCATTTACCTTCTAAACCCTCAACAGATTTCCCGAGTCATCGAGCAATTCTACTCTGAATTATACTCGTCTGCGATCCCCAACACGAGAACCGATTCACGGATCCACAAAATACCCTCGTATACGACTTAGACTTAGAAGATATATCGGAAATATATTTAGGCAAAATGAAAGTAGCTGTACAAAAAATGTGGAGATGCTTGATCCTGGGGGAAATAGACTGGATAAAAACAACCCAGATCCTGCTTCATAAATGGTCTAAAAGACACTGGCTGAATGCGAAGGTGGTACTACTATTCAAAAACGGAGATAGCTCCCTACCAACCTACCACCCCATTAGTTTGCTCTCAATGGTTTGCTCACACCTTTACAAGCTCTCTACTGCAATCGTATTTTGGGGAAAGCTGGCTTTCACCAACCAGTAGAACAGGCAGGGCTCCATCGCGGCTTCAGCACAATTGATTATTAACAGACGCGATCTACCTTAATAGAAAAAGCCACCAAATATAGCATCTCCGTATACCTGGCATTCGTTAACTTTCACAAGGCATTTGATTCAATAGTAACAAAGACAGTTCCTTTTTGAATTTTGAATGGCTTGGATAATGCTAGAAGAATGCAAGTTGTTCTCCTACCATCATGGCGCTGGAGGATATCCTGGATGTCTCCAAGAAATTGGAGTAGCACTAAAGAGGATTTAAAACTGACAGGTCGTTTCTGATCATCTACGATTTGCTGATGATATTGTTTTAATTTCGAGCAATTGAAACTGGATTGGAAGAACTGGAGAAAATCCTAAAACACTTTAATGAAGCTTCCAAGAACATTGGTGAACGAAAAGTACCTATATGACACATGCGTCTTGTGGCGTCATGATATGGAAACTTTGACTCTCACCCAATACAGTGCAAGTCGGCTAAGATAAGAGTAGCTCAGAGAGAGTCATGGATCGGGCAACGCCAACGCTGGGGATAGCGGATATCTTAAAAGGAGCAGTACTATAGTAACTAATATGGTCAGGAGGAGAATGGATGGGTCGAAATGGAGTTGCACGAGGCAGGATGACATAAAAGATGTGTAAAGAGAGTTGATAGAGTGACAGCCTAGAGAAATAAAGAGAAGCAGAGGCATTACACAAAGAAGACGCACGAATGAAATCAATGGCGACTCCCAAGGGGTCGAATTACGTAATGAGGAAAACGAAAAAGATGATAACTTTTGTTTTTTTTTTGGGTGTCATTCGATAGAGACTATTTAGAAATTGGTCAAACTCGATACGACTGGAAAGGCCTATGTCCAACACTGGATTAAAGAAAGCTGATAAAAAAAATTGAGCCTAATAACAGTGTAAAGTTTTCATAGCTTGTTCTTAATAACTTGTTTATACCTTTACATGAATTTTGGTGGTACTAATCAGATATTTTAAATATATTTCTGATTCGATAACCACGAAACGATATATATAGCAGCTTTATTATTTTTAATTATCCAATAACATAATAAACTAAAATTTTGCCTTGAAGATTCGAACAATAAATTTTTTTTATTGTTAGTTGCGTTCGGGTCACTTTTGGTGTATTTTGTATAATATCTGGCAACAAACCATTAATAGTTTTTAATTCTGTTTCAGTTTAACCCAAAACCATCATCATGTCGGACACGATCATCCAATACAATTTCAAAGCCGAAGAACTGGTAAAATCTGGCCGAACTTCGAGTTATAACATTGACGGTATTAGGGAATGGTTGGACCTAATGCCCACGATACCGCCACTATGCGACGAACAAATTGCTATTTTTCTTATAGCTTGCAAAAACGACACTGAGGCCACGAAAAATTGTATAGTTTCGTTTTTCAAATATAAAGCCGCCGCTCCGGAGTTGTTTGCTAATAGAGATATTGACAATGAAGAACAGACACACACTTTCAATGTTTCGTAAGTATGAGAGATTTTTCTATAAGAATGTGCGGAAAGTCGCAACTTTCTGATTTTAGAGAAAAAAAGGTTGTAATAAATGAAATAGGCTAATAGGCATGCGGATTTTTGGCTTTTTGTTTAGCCATTTATGTAACCCTTTGTGAATAGTCTCATTTTGTGCCAAGCGAGTTCCTGCACGAGTTACACAAAATGGGATTTTGTTGAATCACGTCAAATTTCAATTGATTAAACTTATCAATATTGATTTTTTATTTATGTAGTGTTTTTTTTTTTATAGTAAATGTGGTATATTACCCAACCGGACAAAAGAAAACTATGCCGTAATTTGTGCTTGTTTAAAAGATACCAGTTATTCAAGCTTCAATTTGGACGGACAAGTGAAAATGATTTACACTCTATTGGATGTAGTACTTTACGACAATCCACCAGCGGGATTGGTCATAATTATTGATATCAAAGGGGTAAATACAAATATTATATTATTTTGACATTTTTCGAATTTTCTAAGTAATATTAAATTATTTTGTATCAATATATTATATCTATCGCTTTTAAATTCAAAAAACTTTCAATCCAATTTTTTTAAATAAATTGAAATAGTTCAATAATCAGTTCTTCTTCAAAGCCATTGGTCTTTTCCTATCTCCGGGCTATCAGACTAGTAGAAATACATATAGTCCGTCGATTTTAATCTAATATTCCAAAGGAATATACGTTGAAACGCCAAAGGTCACCTGACGTCACACCTATTTTTGCCATATGCAGATTAATGCTTTGGCAGTCTATTCTCGAACATTCACAGTACCTATAGATGTTCAATTAATAATAATTGTTTACTTCAAATGTGTCCTGTATTTGTGCTACTCATTTCCATTATTTTTCTTAAACGTTCGTTTCGTATTTTATCATTTCTGAAACACCAGCTGCTTGCCAATAATCCATTTCGGCAAATCTCAGTGATTTCTCCTGTTCTGTTTTTGATTGTCAATACTGCGAAACAATATTATCATAGATTTATAATAATAATAATATGGTATTGTAAATTCGTTTTTATGTTTATTTTTTATTGATATTGTGTGACCCCAAATTCAGAAACTTGGCAAGATGTTAAATTGGCGAGCGGTGACTTTAGTTTCTGAGTGGAGACACAGTTTAAAATGGGTCCCATTTGCGGGTGGAGAGTAAAACACAGAAATATTGTAGTCAATTAAAATAAAGTTTATTTTATTCAAATAAATAATGCTTGTTATTAAATAACAGACGTAGGTAATAAATAATTTTACAATAAAATTGTTAGATTTCTTATAAGCATCAATTAACTGCTAAGGAAAATTCATATGATTCCAAGTAAAAATTTTATTTACAGTTTGACTCGATTCACACTCTTGCCTTCACAATTTCTGGCTGAACATAAAAAAACTCTACTTTCATTTAACAATAATATATTTACTGCTGGCCACACCTAATTACATGGAAATCTTATTGGTCGAAGGAATTTACTTTAATTATGAACACTTAATAAAAAAACTCGAATATTTTCGCCCTGTTATTTCACGTCGTGCTTCTTCTCTCGGTTAATTCGACAACTCTTTCACGCCGTAGTTCTGACTTTCTGAACACAGGTCTCTCGATTCTCGATTACTACTTGTTTCTTGATCACTCAACCGACACTGGTCCTTCACGCCGTAGTTCTGCCGGTTCACTCGCTCTTTCTCGAACACTGGTTTTCTCGAACACTCATTTTCTCCTGCCAAAGTTGCCTTTTTATATCACTGGTCCCTCCATTGTCTTGAATTTCTTTATTGTTTCTGACCTCGATTTTTCGTGGTTGAATCATTCGATCAATTAGTTTATTTGGTTCCCTTTTAATTAATTATCAAGGGCCTCGCTAAGTGGTTTGTTAAGTGGGTAACATCATATAGGCTCGTGCATGATTTATTGATCCTTTTAGAAAATTTTCGGCTCCTTTGGAATGTTAATTGTTGAAAGCACTTAAAAAAAAAGGTCCATGAACTTTTTCTTTATTCGCATTCCAATGTATTAGTCAATATAGAGTATCGGCTTTCAATAATTTCTGGATATCGATGTTCAGATAATTTTTAATTGAAGTTTATGGTTGTGCTGTCTAAGTGATGATCTCTCCTGGGATGGTTGCTTGGTAAGTCCTTTTTATTCTTGATTAATTTTCGGTAGTTGGATCCTAGGTCTTTAGTTGTTTAGAATAATCAGAACTTTTAATTGTTTTCTTGGTGGTTTATTTCCGCGTCCCTACAATATCCCTCAAGATACTTTTAGGTGAAGTGATAGTATGTCTTTCCAGGTTATTTCGTTCTCTAATTGCTACGTCCAAGGGTCCATCATAAATAATTGCAGTCATAGGTGTTTATACTATACGCTTGTTGCATGTTTTTTATCTACCTTCCAATACTTAATCTTGTAGTTTACCTAAATAAATTAATTTCTATCTGTCCTGTCCTCTAGTAGATTGCATCTGGAGTCGTTCCAGATTGATATGCGAGCTTTCCGAATGTCTAACATGATTCTGAGGGGTCGAAGATTTTTTCTTCTACCAAAAGAAACCAACTTCTTGGTTTATGGTGCTCACCTCTTGGTGCGTTAGCCTTGCTCCTTCAGCTTCTTGCAAAATGAGCAGGGGATTCACAGATATTCTGCTGTTTGTGTTACTTGTTTGCAATGTCTGCAGTCTGCAGTAATCATTCTCTTTGCCCTTTGTTAGGTGATATATAACTAGGCAATGCTCAGTGAGCAGCCTGACGACTGTTCTATTGTCTCGGTGTTATTCATGTCGAGAAGTTGTTCAGATCTTTTTGCTGAGATGGATATGAACCTATTCATGAGTGGATCCGCAATGAGTTAGCATTGGGTTACCTCAAAAAAAAAAAAAAAAACGTGGGACAACCAATCGGCACTCACACAAAAATGAAAGCCCACAATTAGATAAAAAATAAGATAAGATTTATCAGGTAGAAACTTAACAGTGATAGGATAATATGCATTAATAGCAAAATATATTGAAAAATCTATGAGGGAGAATCTAAAAATATAAAGCAAAAATTAATAAAAATAAAAACGACTTCCCTGCTAGACTACCGCCGAGAAAAGAGAACGTTTTAGAAACCAACCCCCACAGGAAAACGATCCTGTGTTTTTTTTATACTTAACCGCATTTTAACCAGTTTAACCAATCAAAAAAGAACACCCAAAAGATCATATTCACTTTACAACGACTTCACAATGAAAAACCACGTGGAATAAAAGAGAATAGATAAAAATCCACTAGATTTTTTTAATTGTTTACAAATTATAATAATTTAAATTAAGGTTATGTCAAAAACAACAAACTACTAATTAATTAGGTCATTAGGCCAGAAAATTATTATTTCAGAATCAGAAGTTAGAGAAAGACAGAAATATATGTATTTGCTAAAAGTGAGATGAATATAATTTCTTTCAATGGCTATTTCACTAGAGTGTATTACACCGGCAATAAATTCGGTCTTCAGCTGACAATATTGCTACCTGGACAATACCAACAACATGGTATTTCAGCGACCATTTTTTGACATTGTCAAATTGATATTTTTAATTTGAAGTTTTTATTCATATTTTTGCATTCTATTTATTTTCAAAACCTTACGTGAAATAGTCATGACGAATACCACTCGAGAAAAAATTGTGTAGGCAAAATTGTTCTCAAGGTTTTATTCAAGTTTGTTGCTTTTCGGCAATTTCGATTTTGCTCATGACATTTTAGATAAAATCACTCGCCTGACGGCTCGTGATTTTGTCAAAAATGTCATTCGCGAAATTGCCAAGCAACAAACTTTTATAACTTTCGAAAATTTTGCCGACAAAATTTTTTCTCTTGTGATATTAATATATGAAAATACAAATGACTGTCAAATGGGAAATATTAGAAATAGTTAAGGAAAACTATCACAATTTGAAAAAAAAAAACTCATCCGGTACTAGATGGCAGCACTGGTATTATTTTGAGCTTTGTGGATATTTTTAGATTATTATGAATTATTATTTTGCTGATTCTGAAATGGAAAAAATAAAACTTTATAATGAAAATGAGAAGAGATGGAACATCACGTAAATAATAAATTTATCGTAACACACCTCCTTCAGTTCGTTAAAAAAAAAAAGAAGAAGAAGTGATGTTTCATTGTGTATTGAAGTTAATAAGGAACTTAAGTGTGTCTCAGATAAAATTATGGTATTGAAAATGTTAACAATTAACAATATGGAAACTGTTGGTCATTTGGTTCTACGTTTATTAATGAGAAAGGTTAATTATAAGAAAAATATATATATATTAGAGATAAAAAAAATTAAAGGAAAGGAAAAGATAATTTGGGCGCCAGTACATTTTCCAATGTACAAAAAAAATTAAATACCCTTCTAAATTTAAAGAAGGAGAAATTTATAGGTAATTTAAAAAAAAATCAAGATATATTTTCCTGTAGAAAAACATTGTATGAAGTTAAACTTCAGAAATTATATGGAGATAGATTAGAGTTTTAATCACTATTAAAATCAAAGCACACCCTCCTCGACCAACAGAGCGGAGAGCGTCTATAAATTAATCAAATAATTAATTGAGAGAATAAAAAGATATTGAAGTTATAAAGGTATTGAAATATATTGAAATTATAAAAGATATTGACAGAATTTTTTTAGGCATTCTTGAAGAAAATTGAGATAATTAAAATCTGTTTTTTTTTAAAGATAATTCCCCAAGTCAAAAATTTAGTAACTATGTTGGCAGCACAAGCCTTTTCTACATAAAAAATTTGAAAGCATTGACAATTTTACATTGTATTGCCAACATAATGTCATCTTGACTTTTATCTTAAAAAAAAACACACTTTACTTGAATTTGAACAATTGAATCACAAATCACGGATTATTGGAACCTGAATCGATGAATCACTCTAGCACTTGTAATAGGAAGAACAAACTGTGAAATAGGAAATGTTGCTGGTTGAGTGTCTGTTCTGCTATGCTTTTTGAGACTCGCCAATCTCTTTCTTAAAACTAAAGGAAAAGTGAGGACGGACATCACAGAAGAAACTGTCAGGAAAGACCCATACAGTGAAAAGATTAAAACGCCAATTTATACGTAATGTATTCAGTTCTGAGAGACCTTTCATCCCTTGCATACAACGGGGATCAGCCGCCATACACAAGTTATCCGTAAAAAGACTTAATCAAGAAATCAGTGTGCGGACGAACACACCTAGGAATGAAATTATCTCAATTAACCGCTAATCTCAAAGAACCATCCGACTCTAACTCCTGCTACCAAGTTTGTGTCAATAAGGTGGTACACAGCAATTGATTTCCCCCAACGGACGAGAAAAATCATTTAAAAAGAAGTTGAGCAGCTCGTATAAGAGAAAACTTAAGATAACCACATACCGGAGCGGTGCGC